AAGTTACCCTGTCCGATGTTTCCCTCTGCCCTCTTCTCTGCTGTCCATCCCCCAGGGAGGAGGCAATACTTAGATTCTTGTAATTGGTTCCCCCCTTCTACCCCACATTCCCTTCACCCTCCAGGCCTCGCCCCTCTCACCACTGGTCCTAAAGGGATCATCCGCCCTGGACTCCCTGTGTTTCCAGTTGCTATCTGTACCAATGTACATCCTCCGGTCCAGCCAGATTTGTAAGGTAGAATTGGGATCATGATAGTGGGGGCACTTTGTACATATGTTATCCCACTCTGTCCAGGAACTTCGACTGCGGTCCTTGACAGAGCAATTGGCCGTGGTAGCCGGGCACCAACTAGCGCTGATGGCTCCTTTGTGCTGGGCTACATCACCACCCACGGAGACCCTGCCTGCTCACCATCTGTTTCCTCACAGACTTGGTCTCTGCAGCCAAGTATTATGCAGAATGTGAAGCAGTATTTCAGACAAGATTTACCGGGAAGGTTGGTCTATCCTGCCAGCCCTTCTTAGGACTTTTATTTTCATGACAGCTGTGTACTTTTTAAGGTCTTGTACATGGCATTCTGTTCAAATTAGGCCTAATGGAAATTTAGGGAAACTCATTGGTAGTGTCAACAGCAGCCTCGTGGTCCGTAGGTTTTAGAGCCAGTCACCGTCCTCAATCTGACAGACGCTCTTGGAATGTCAATGGATGCTCCTCCTTCCACGGGAACCAACTCAGTGAAGGGGAGAGCGCTTGAGTAAGCCGACAAGGAGGCGTCTGCTGTCCACACTGCAAGCGACATGGCAGCCACAAGCCGGTTTCCATCATTGAGAGGCCAGTAGATGCTGATGGCCACAGGGAAGCAGTGATGTCCAAGGGGGAGATCATGTCAAGCCGCCATTCCCCACACCAGGGAGCATGGGTTTATAGCTAACCTCAGACCTACTACGTTATTGACTGGAATTTAAAAAAGCAAGTCAGGGACCCACCCACGGGAATCATGCGCCATCAACTTCTGTGTCTAAAACTCAGGAGGCAGTATAGAAAAATGGTTAAAGATATGCGCTGGAATCGATGCCTAGGCTCAAACCTGTGATCTGTCATTTTTCTGGCTGTCTGGCCAAGGGTGTGCCACTTAATGGTTTGGGATAGTTTTCCGACCTGCCCATCTCTTTCCATCAAGAAGCAGAGTCTACGCCAACTGCTCCACTTCTTGAGCCTGGGTAGAACATGTGAGTGCCTAGAGACAAAGAATGGTGGGAGAGTGGCTGGGGGAGAGGAGATCAAGCCGCTTCGGATGGTGTCTTTTGGGACACTCCTTCTGGAAGCCTTCAGCCCCCATGAAACCAACACAGCCTCTTGTGAAGGGATAGCACTCCGAGGGAGACACACTGTCAGAGCCTTAGTTTCCCAGCCCACAGCTTGTCTCCCCAGCCTAGGCTTCACACGGTGAGTGACGGAGAACCGGTGCTGACCCCGGCCCCCTCCACCATAGGACAGCAAACTCAGGAGAGATCCCGGGCGAGAACCGCCTTGCTCAGCCCACGCAGCCCCCGGATCCATGGGCAAGGGAAATGACGGTCATTGTTGTAAACCTACCATCTGGGGATGATTTGTTATAATGCAGTCAGTAGGGAGCTAGCTGATGGGGTACGTGAAATAGAGTGTCGTCATAAAAGCTGAACCCCATGGCTTGAGGAACCAGAGGAGAGTAGAAGTTGTAAGGGCTTTGAAGATTTTGTAGGGAGAGTCTGATGGCTCTCAAGGAGGCTTCTGGGGAGGCCTTAAGGGAAAGTGGAGAAAATCTTACTGAAAGCAAGAGGAAACCCAATCAAGCCAACCTATTTTCCTGGAGTATATTCCAAGGCACAGCAGCTCCATCGGACAGAGTAAAGCGCTTAAGGCTGTGTGCCTGACTGGAGCAGACAGCCTCCTCTCTCTCCCAAGGAGCCACTGGTGGGTTTGCACGGCTGACCTGGCGGCTCGCTCGCAGCTCAGCGTGTAATGCACTGTGCCACCAGGGCTCCGTAAGCAAGTGGCAAGAAGCTCGTTATCAGGTGGTGGAAGCAAGTTCAGTGTCACCTGAAGTGATGCGGACAATAGAAAATGTATTACTGACCTGATGATTTGGGCTAAGCATATTGGAAAATGGAATATAAAAGATGACAATTGGGTTATTTTAGTTACATATGATAATGATAGAGAAACATCCCCCCAAACAAACAAACAAGCAAACAAAAACAAACACCTCACTGCCATTGACTCAAAGCAACCCTATAGGACAAGGTAGAACTGCTGCCCCTTTGGGTTTTGTGGCAGTTACATAATTTTGTGTCAACTTGAAAATATAAAAGTGTAGGGGTGAAGTTTAGCCTGTCAATCAGGTCACAGCCTGATGGTCCCCCCTGGTGGGTGTGGCCTTCTTATAAGGAGGATCTTGGGAACTTCCTCTCTCTCTCTCTCTGCTTTACTTTCCTCTGTCAAGTCACTCGGAGAGCTGCCAGAGCCACCGCCATTGGATCCACAAGACTTGGCATCCACCAGCTGGTGATGTTCCTGTGTTCCGCATCATTGCATGTGGCTTTGTGAGTCTGAAGAGGGACTTATGGACTAGTATCGGACTTATGGACTTGATCTGGGCTGGATTAGTATGTTTTATTGATGCACAATTACTCCTTAATATCAAGCTCTTTCTTACACATCTGCAAGTGTCGCTGAATTTGTTTCTCTGATCTACCCAGCCTAACACAGGTTTTCCAAGGCTGTACATCTTTACAGGAGCAGCTAGCCTCATCTTTCTCCCTTGGAGCAGTTGGTGGGTTTGAACTGCCAACTTTTCAGTGAGCAGCCCAGCGCATAATTCATGATGCCATCGGGGCTCCTGAAGGATAGAAGAAGATGGGTTACAAAGTCACATTAATGGTCCAACAAGGTCCATGGGGAATATGGAAGAACCACGGTGCTGCTGGGTTGGCAAATGATCTCCCTGCTCAATCTTCCTACAGGGCTTCTAGAAGAGTCTCAAAGTCAGAAAGGGTTATGGGACAAAGGACATCAAGAGGAGGACTTTATGCGTCTCAGTTAAAGCCTCAGAAAGATCTCCGGCGTCTTCATATCTTGCACACAGGCAAAAGACCCTCTCGTCTCTCAAGTACATCCGTCACAGCCCCTCTCTATTAAACAATAGGGCTTTTAAGAATCCTAAGTGAATTGTCCCATAAAAACCTCACAAGACACTCAAGGTAAGCAGGGCTTCCTTTGATGAGATTTATGGTTATGGCTTTTGACTAATTGAGCGAACCACAATGTGATTTCAAGGAAACCCACACACCCGTAAATATACGTATATTGTCAGGAACCCCCCAGCTCAGCTGAAAAGGGACTGGGAGGGCAAAATGGAAAAAGGCCTTTCCTCTCAAACTTCTGCAGACAGAAAGCAAACTGAGAAAACCCCTCCACAGCAAACACTATTCTTTTTCTAACAGAAAGGGAATGAGGAGTCAGAAGTTGGAACCAAGAGCCCAGAGGACAGAGCCAAGAGTTAGGAAGAATCATTCCCAGGAACTAGGACCGAGCCTGAACGAAGACCCCGGCAATATGAAAGCCGCTGGGTTTCAGAACTGTTGTGGACCCGTGACTGCTGTGTACCTTCCTCCCCTCCGTTTGAATGGGAGTGTTCCTTGTGCTGGCCCTGTCACTGCCCCTCCCTACATGTCGGGTGTATATGAAGCTGTTGACTTGTCTCTTCAGATAACGAGCAGTGGTCCCCAAGGAGTTGTGCCTGAGGAATTGCATCTGTGTAATTGGGATGTGTGGTAGATATATAATCGTTTGTCAATTTGAGGACTAAGAGTGTAGGGGTGGAGTCTAGCTTGTCAACCAGATCATAGCCAATGAGGCCTCTGTGTGGGCATGGCCTTCTCCTGAGATTTCGGGGAAATCTGGTATTTCTTCCTGGGAGACAGCAGCTGACAAGACACATGGACCCACCCTAATGCAGAGACCCCTGCCAGCAATGAGATGTTTCCAATGTCACTGGATCCACAAGACTTTCCACCCACTGGCCTGATCATCCTGCATTTGGCATCATTGCATGTGTTGTGTGAGTCTGAAGAGGAGTTTATAGAGTGGTATTGGCCATATGGGCTACTATCGGACTAATGGACTTGATCTGGACTGGGATGGGCTGTTTTCTCAATATTCAATTGCTCTTGCCTATAAAGCTCTTTCTAGACACAAATGAGTGCCCTGGATTTGTTGCTCTAGTCTACCTGGACTAACATAGGCACCCAGCTCTAGCTCTGGGGGACAGCAAACCTAACTCCTCCAATTAAGTGCCTGGAGGCACCCTACTTCACAAATCAGCTTCCTGCCCCAAAGCACCCAGTTGGACTCACTGCTGTGGACCAGGAAGGACCCCTCTGCCTTGTGCCCCTCTGACTCTCGGTTCTACTGCTGCTGCTCTTCTGCCACTTCTCTTGTGTCTCAGGATCAAAAAGGTTCAATGCTCAGGGATCTATCTCTAGGGTATGAAGGATGCATCCCACTCCTATCTCTTTTTTTTTTTCCGGTCAGGAAGTTCAATTTATTGGTTGGGTACAGGTCAGGAAGGACACAGGGCTACGAAGGCCTTCATGAATGCAGGGCCTGCCACTTGTCCAAGGGGCCCTGGTTGGGGATGTGTTCGACTCCACGACCTTCTGGGATGAGGTGGTTCTCAGCCACCAGGTCCTCACACTCATCAGCCATACATTTGGTGGAGCCCCGCTTCTTAGAGATGTGAGTCTTCTGGCTCCCAGGGAACATGAACTTGTCCTTGCATAAAACCTCAGTCACACGCGCCTTGTTCTGAAGCTTGGTGCGGATGGACATGAACACTTGGCCGATGTGGACCTAGCCATGGTGGCTTGGGGTTCTCCCAAAGCACCTCAAATCTCAGTCAGGAATCTTGGTCCGGGACAGCGGAAAGTAGCCAGGCCAGAGACATCAAAGAGCAGCCAAGGGTTGTCTCCAAGGTTCCTTCGAGTGGCTTATACGTGCCAACCAGGCTGCATCCCTGACTCAGGAAGCTGTTATTAGCAGCCATTGCATGCCAGCCAGCCCCCACGGGAAAGAGGACAGTTGGCTCAACTGGCTGCCTCGCTCTTCTTTCTTGATGGTAGTACCACCCCACCCCCTTTCTGCTTCTGAGATGGCTCAGTTTTTTACTTGCAAGGATGACAAAATTGGCCAGTCCCCATACCAGAGTTTTAGGTTTTCACAATCACAATGAGCCTTGTTGGCACTCTTGACCGAATCATATCGTCCTAGCAGGATCTTCCCCCATCTTCTCGGACTCAGACCCCCCAGAAAAGTCCTTCGGTGGGAGTCACCAATGCTGTATCTCAAAAGCCCTACTGAGTACTCCACAGCACCACACTGGCACATAGTAGGTGCCATGGGGAGGCTAGTATGTCTGTACCTGGATGAATCGCATAGATATGACGTGGATCTGAATAAGCCAGTCACAAGAACGCATGCAATTAAAAAAATTATTCAAGTGAAGTTCAATCCCAGGCAAAATTAATTGATGGTAGAGAAATCGCAAGAAGGGTTACCTCAAGGGGGGTGGGGTGGGATATTACTGGGAAGGGGCTCCCGGACATTGTTTCATGTTTAGTCCAGGTTGCTGTCGAGCCGATTCATGACAACCCCATGTGCATCCGAGTCAAACTTTGCTCCACAGGGTTTTTCAAAAGACTGATTTACTTATTTTTCTGAAGTAGATCACCGGGCCTTTCTTCAAAGGGCTTCTGGGTGGGCTCGAACCTCCAACCTTTGAGTTAGAAGCTGAGCACATGAAATAGTTGCACCATCCAGGCTTCCGGGTGGGCGGCCTGCATAGCTGTAAACATTCATTGAAGCGTGCCCCTGCGATCAGGAGTCCCACCGTAGATGCTCGGTCTCAACAAAGAGAGGTTAGAAAATGTTAGTGTGTCTTCCCTTCAGGGAAAAGCGATCTTCAGACATTCCCAACTCTGGGCCTGGGGCCTTTTGATCACCCCTCCCTCTGCCCTGAGCAGCCTTCAGTAACTATACTCAAACGCTCTGCTGTGGGAGCTGGCTGGAACTGCAAGCCTAACTCCCCCTAGCCCCACTCCACCTCCTTCCCTCCCCTACTCCCCACCCAGCCCCAGTCACAAAAAGAGTCTGGGATGACAGGGGAGCTGTGAGTGTCTGAAATAAGTGGGCAGCCTTGGGAGATGGGTCTGGTTCCTGGAAGGAGGCAGGTAGGGAGCAGGCATGGAGGACGGCGGGCTGGGTCGAAATAAAGAGCTTGTTCTGCTCCGGCTGTGCTATGTGAGGAGCCGGAGCCCTGGCACCCTTCGGAGTTTCCGTTCTCTGCACTGCAGCTGTTGGTTACGTGTTTCATTCAACATGCTTTGCAGGAAGCAGCAAGCTCCACATTCCAACGTTTGTAGTCATTTTTCCCCCCCTCTCAGAGCTTTGGGGTTGGGATTAGAATGCTCTTCAACCACACTGTCCTCGGCTGGACTCCCAAGAGGAAGTGGGCGGGTCCCCTGAGGGTGAGAACACAGGCCCAAAGTCAGGGCCAGAAGGACAAAGAGGAGAGCTAACACAAGCACACCCGGAGAGAGGCCGGCTGAGCTGAGTCCAGGTGTGGTGGGGCTGGGAGTCTGGTGGGTGGCACGACACCCACCGCCCCCTGGGCATGGGATCTTTGGCGTGACAAGCGTGGTGAGGGACAGAGCAGAGTCAAGGTGGCACTTTGTCCTAATGGACTCACACTCGGCCCCCTGCTTTGGCCGAGGGGGCGAGTGACGGGGGCGCTCCACTTGTTGGGGCGGTGGTGGGGGGCAGGTGGTGACACATGTTTGTGTTTGGGGCACAGAGAGCTTCCCGGAGAAAACTACCACAGAGGTCCGTTGAGTTTCTACTACATGACCGGCCGGAGTGGGTGTTGGAACAGCACAGACCCCATCCTGTGCTTGTAACGAGACCAAAGAAACCAACACACAGAAACACACACACACGCACACACCCCCCCCCCCAAACTGATGCTGTCCAGGAGACCCAGCCCATGGTGACCCCAGGGTTCCAGAGTGCAAACCCGTTCCCCAGAGGGGTTTCCTGGCTGGAATCATTAAGGAAGCAGATTGTCAGGCCTTTCTTTTGCAGCTCCCCGCTGATCACAGGCACCTCTGAGGGAGCCTCTTCTTGCAGTAAGGTCTGTACACAAGGCCTGGAAGGTGTTCCCTGGGATAAAGGGGTGGGCCCGTTCGAAGACTGTGGCAGGCAGAGGGAGGAGTAGCCATGGGGAATGGTGCATCTAGGTCGATGGAGGGTGCAGTGTGGAGAGAGAGGGGGGCGAGGAGCAGAGGGCAGGCAGGGTCTGACTGTAGGCCAAGGAGGCCATGGACAGGAGCAGGCTCTCAGGGCTCTGCTGAAGCAGGCCTCTTCCCTGAGGCCAGGAAAAAGCCTAGCGCCTGGCCCAATGGAGGAGGGGCAGGAGGAGGAGGAGGAAGAAGAAGCAGAGGAGGAGGGGGAGGAGGTTCCCTCAGCAGCACCCACAGCCCAGTGTCACCCTTTCCCCAGAGCTCCTTAGAACGAAGCCCCGTGCTGAGTCTAAGTCTCCAACTAGCACTTCACAGATGACAAACTTTTGTTCCCCGTGGTAGACACAATCCTGAGTGCAGTCTGATCCCAAGATTTTCCACCCTCATCCCTGGATATGTTGAGTGCAAAACCCATGGTCTGCTACAGTCTATGGCAGCGCGGGGGTCCAGGGTGGCGGTCCTAGGGTTTAATTCAGGCTATTCATCAGTGTTAATCCAAAGGGAGATGGACTGAGTGGGTCTGACCCAATCGCTTGCACCCTGTTAAAAGCAGAGCATTTTCTCTGTCTTCTGGAAGAACGGCAGAAGACCGAAGAAGAATTGATGTGGTGCTGGTGAAGAATATCGACAGGGCCATGGACCAGCCAAAAGAACAAACAGGTCTGCCTTGGAAGAAGTTCCCCGAGAATGCGCCTCAGGGGCAAGGATGGTGAGACGCCATCTCCCGTACGTTGGCCGTGTTGACAGGAGGAAGCAGGCCCTGGGGAAGGGCATCATGCTTGGTCAAGTGGAGAGGCAGCCCCAAACAGGAAGGTCCTCCACAAGACGGGCTGACACAGCGGCTGCAACAATGGGCTCAAGCCTGGGAACACTTGGGAGGTTGCAGATTTGATTTGAGCCAAAGGGAGATTTGATGTGCCCTTGATGTGAGGATGGAGAAGGCCGTGGAGAACGGACTTCAGACAGCTGCTCCAGGACCCTGGCCTGAGCCTGCAAGGGAGGGGAACCTCAGTCCTGCAGTGGAGGAAGTGGGTTCTGCCACAACCCGGATGCACTTGGCCGAGAACGCTTCCCCAGAGCTTGCGGGAGGGAAGAAGAGACTGATTCTGGTGCTGTGTGTGAGACCCTAAAACAGGAAACCGGGTGGAGCCTACCTGGAGCGGAAAGGAAAGAATTGGTTTACATCACAATTTACTCAGTTGACTCAGCCATCCACAGGACAGGGTAGAACTGCCCCTGTGAATTTCTGCAGACGGCATGACTTAGGGGCTCAGTGTGGAGATGACCCTGCGGCGAAGCCCCTCCAGCAGGCTGACCGGGAGGTTTCCCCCGCCTGCATGGCCACCAACACACCCCAGGCTGCTGGCTGGGGCCAAGGACATTTTGGCTTCCCAGAGCGGAGGAAGGGGGCCTGCATCACACAGCCCCTGCGCTGTGGACAGCAACAGGAGTGGCGCCCTGATGGCCACCACCTCCCACTTCCTCACAGATGACCGATCTGACCTCTGTTCCAGCAGGAGGCCGGAGCTGGGGTCCCAGGCTCCTGAATGGGTCCCAGGAAGAAGCACCCGGTGGCTGGTTGGGAGGGGCGTTTCTGAATTTCCTATTTGTCTCCCTAAGGGTTTGCTGGGTTACTTGGCCAGGTGTCCCCTGGGAGTCCAGCGTGGATGTGAGGAACACGGCTCTGTTTCTGCTTTATTGATTAAAGAACCCCAACTTTCCTCCGTTCCCACATGCCGCCCTTTCTAAAGCGATTCTCTAATTCTTCCAACATGTTGCCTGCCGGGTTTTCCTGTCCATCTGTCCATCCGTCCCCTGGCGGGCCTGCCGTGAAGGGAAGCACAAAAAGCTTTGATTCAGATAGAACTGGGGGCCAGGATCTGCAACGGACCCTCTGAGAGAGTGAGGTGTCAGGTGGGTCACCCACAGAACCTCCGTTTCTTCCGAAGGGCTGTTTCTAAAATGCCAGGGGAGAGCAGATATGGGGTCTGAGAGACGAGAGGGGAGCCATTGTATTCCTTCCCACAGCACGAGAGAGCAACCTTAGAAACCAGAAAATCATTCTGCTCTGATGACAGGCAGGCTGGTGGGGCCTCCCCGCCACCCAGCAAAAAGCTTTAGTCAGCAAAGTTTGCTCCTGGGGTGCACTCTCCCAGAGCAACTTGCTCTCTCTGAATCCCTTCCTCCTTCCAGGCCCTCCCTCTGCATACCCCTGCCTTGGTAAGGGAGGGGAACAGCCCACCTTGGGGAGTGAATAGTGTGGAGCGGGTGTCTTCTGGCATCTCCAGGTGTTGTCTGGCTCGGGAATGAGGCAGGGTTAGGCTCGCTTCTCTGGCCTGCTTCTCTTGACTTTGTGTTGGGAGCTTTGGGTGTTTGGTTTTCATTTAAATCCTCTGAGAGACAGCGGGGCATCGGATGGAGTCACACTTGACCAAGTTTTCGAGCTGACCTCTGAGCTGAGCAGGCCCCCAGGGCAGTGTTTGGGGTTGTGGGGTGGGTTGTGGGCGTGTCTCTGTTGGAGGTGTGTGGGGTGAGGGTGTGGACCCCCGGGACAGGGAAGAAAAGGACGGGAGAGAGGGATGGTGGCCATGGTCTCGCTGACCCTCCCGCAGTGGAAGGCCTTCTGGAAGGAGGGCATCCCGGGGTCACTGCAAGTCCCTGGGGGTTGGGAGAAAGTTCCTCACAGGGCTGCCTTCCAGGGCAGAGGCTGGCAGGAAGCCAGGTGGGTGTCCTCCAAGTGGGGCCTGTGCTGGGCCGGACCCTCTGCAGCCTCCACCCTCCTCCCCCGGGGCTGCTGCAGGCTCCAAGCTGAGCCAAGCACAAAACAGACAGCCCTCTCTCTGCCTCTCTGTCCCCACCCCCCTCCTGACAGAGTCTGGCTTTCATCACCCATTAATCACCTCGGCTTCCCACAGCCTGTGTCTGTCTGTCCACACCCAACAGCTCCCCGGCCCCTGGGGCCACGGACAGACAGACCCACAGACAGATGGTCTCTGACTCGAGGAAGTTTAGGGTCACACGGTGGGGGTGGAGGTGCTGCTCCCGGCTCCAGGCAGGGGAGAGGCAAGCTGCCTGGACTCCTTAGGTCACTGCCCCCCTCCCTCCACTCGGGGCCTGGAGCTGTCAGGCCAGCCCCTGCACCCTGGCAGTGGACAGACGACAAGGGGCCATTAGCTGTCCTGTGCGCCAGGAAGGAAATGGGATGGAGGGCTGAGGAATTCTAATTAAGCTTCCCCAGCTGGCTGGCCCGCTGAAGGGTGAGAGCTGGCACCCCTGTCCCCCACCCCCTCCTGAGTTGGTGCCAGCCCGGGCCGGCCTGGCCGGCTGGATGCCCACCTGCCACTGTGGGAACCCTGGCCTTGGGTTGCCTTCAAAGGTCCTTGAGATTCTGGCTGATCCCTGCTGGTCCAGCCTGACCCCATCCCACCCCCACTGCCACCCCCACCCCCAACCCCCAGACTCCCACCTCTCTATTCAGATGCCTCTTATCCACAGCTTCCCTGCAAGAGGAGCGTGGCCTTTGGGACTGGAACACCATGTGGGGCGCCACCCCATTAAGCTGCCATGGTGCCTCGTCCCCAACCCTGGAGACCTGGTTACTGATCCGGTGTTGTCCTCACAGGCTGTGTGGCCTGGGATGAGTCACAACCCTCTCTGGGCTTTAGGTTCCTTAACTGCGGGCGACAATGGCAACCCTACCTGCTTCTTTCAGGGCTGCCCAGGAGTATTACTGATGCGAATACCTGCCATTTCTTTAGGAGCCCCGGTGTTGCAGTGGGTGCTATCCACAGGGCCCCAAACCACCGGCCACTCCGCAGGAGAAAGAGGAGTTCTAAGGTGACAGGCTCAGACTCCCACAGGGCAGGTCTGCTATGGGAGGGCCGCCGTGAGTTGGCATTGACTTGACGGCAGTGAGTTATTGTTTTCTGGCGGCGCAGTAGTGCCACGGTCAACGGCTAGCCCAACAGGTCAGGGGTTCAAATTCGTCAGCTGCTCTACCGGAAAGGGATGTGGCTTTCAGATGATCACCTTGAAACTCCATGGGGGCTGTTAAACCCTCCTCCTTGACTCGATGGCACCTGATAGCAAAAACACTTATTTGGTGTCAAACAATATGTAAATAAAAGCAAAACCTGTTGCCACTGAGTTGATTCTGACTCACAGCAATCCTATGGGATAGAGTGCAGCTGCCCCACAGGATGGTGGTGCTGTGGGCTCCTTGTAGGGTCCACAAGGTTGGTGGTTCAAACCCACTTGTCTCCTCTTGGGAGACTATAAAGATTTACAGTCCTGGCAACCCGTATGGAGGGTCACGATGTGTCGGAATCGACCCGACCGCGGTAGCCCCTTGTGCTTGTTTGTTCATCTTTTTGGAAGCTGACTGCCACCTCTTTCTCTCTGAAGGGCAGCTGGTGGATTTGAACTGCCAACCGAGTGCTTAGCTACTGTGCCACTGGAGCTCCTACTGGATGTCTCCTGAAACCAGACCAAATGCACTGTTGTCAAGTTGATTCCAACCCGTAGGGACCCTGTAGGACAGGGTAGAACTGCCCCTGTGGGTTTCCCAGACTGTCTCTACGGGAGTAGGAAGCCTCCTCTTTCTCCTCCAGGGTGGCTGGTGGTTTCGAACTGCTGACCTTGCAGTTAGTGCCCCAAGGCATAGCCCACGCCACCGCCAGAGCTCCTCGTTTGGTATCTACTGGTTGTGACATGTGGAACCCTGGTGACATAGTGGATTTATACATCGAGCTGCTAATGATACGGTCGGCAGTTTGAGCCCATCAGCTGTTCCCAGGGCAAAAAAGGGAGGCTTTCTGTACAGATTTTTCTCACTCACTATAGGACACGGTAGAACTGCCCTGTGGGTTTCTGAGACGGTGACTCTTTATGAGAGTAGAAAGTCTCCTCTTTCTTGCTCAGAGCTGCTGGTGGTTTCGAACTGCTGACCTTGCAGTTAGCGGCCCAACTCCTAAACCCAAAGGATCCGTTCTGTTTCTATAGGGTTGCTGTGTGTCAGAATCAATTGGATGGCAGTGAGGTTTTGTTTTTGTTTCAGGACTGTGATGCAGGGTGGTAAGGATACCTGGGCCAGAGGGGTGGCTATCTAGGGGTGTCAGGAAGCCCCTAGGTCTCCCGGCCCTCCTGGCTTGCTCACCCACTGGAGTCTGAGGATTGGAGGGCAGCACAGCGCAGCACTGGGAGTGGTGGGGTCTCTCTGGTGGGGGGCCCATCTTGAAAGCCCAGGAAAGACAGCAAGCTTGGTCTAGGGCCCCAGAGCTGTGTCCAGAGTCTGCAGCTCGGGTTCTACCCCAGCCCTTCCCCAAGGCGGGTGCCTGGGTGGGAGTAGCTTCACGGAGGCTCTCAGCCAGACATCAATCCCCCACTGGTGTCCAGCCTTTGCTGGCATGCTGCGAGCCACAGCAGGCATAGCCCCTCAGAGAGCTAGCCACCAGACCCCGGATTCTGAACTCCTCAGCTCCTTCCCACATCTGCAGGTCACTGCCCAGTGATTCGCATACTTTTGCATCAAAGTCTACAACGCCCTCCCTGTCTCCCACCCTTCTTTTTTTCAACCCTGGTAAGGCCAAATATTTCATGCACAGCCTCCAAGTTGTAGTATCTAAGGTGCCCCGCCCAATTCCATTCATTTCAAGCCTATTTCAGGCAGCCAGCAGGGCCAGCAGAATTGGCGGAGGGGGTAGGTGGGGTGAGTAGATGGAAATGAGTGAGTCTTCGCCTTTAGGTTGCTCACAGGTGGGGAAACAAAATTCACGGAGACGATGGCGGTGCAGGGATGGGGTACAAGTGCAGAGACAGTAGACACAGGGCGCGGTGTGGTGCTGGGGGCCAGGAGGGGCCTAGCATGGGCTGCAGGGTGAGGGCAGTGAGCTCCAGGGCTCTGCCCTTGCACGCCGCTGTGCAGGACACCCAGCAGGCTGGGTTCTGGGGCTGTGACTCTTCTCTGGGCAGAAGCCGTGCCAGTTACCATCCTGACGCACAACGAGCCTGCCTGTGTCGGAGTAGAACTCTGCTCCTCAGGGTTCCAGTGGCTGATTTTTCTCAAGCCGTTTGCCGGGCCTTTCTGCTGAGCTGCCTCTGGGTGGACTTGAACCGGTCACCTTGCCGTTAGCAGCTGAGAACAGTAACTCCGTTTGGCCACTACAAATGGTCGCCTGGCATTATACCAGTGATCCTCTCTGGGCCTTGCAGATCAGACCAGATGTGTGCCCAGACCAAAAATGACCTTAGTGAGAGGGTAAGGGCCCTGGGATGAGAGTTCTGGGTGCACAGGGACCCCTGCCCAGTGCCACCCCTGTTCGGATGACAGCAATGAAGGAACTGAGGTGCAGAGGGATCAGTTGAGGTGCTCAGGTCTACCCAGGGCAAGTAGGAGGTGGGCTGTGAACTCAGGAGGCCTATGCCCTCAAGCACCCTGCTGGGCAGCCTCTCCTGAGAGGCAAGCCAGGTTGGGCTTCGGGGCATGGGTCACCAGACCATTGGGAGTGGTGAGGCTGGCTCTGGAGCAGACGGCCTCTTCAAACCTGACCACCATCCATGTGACTTCTGGGAACCAGTCAGCTTCTCAACTGAGTTTTCCTCACAGGCTGTGGTAGTTCCATAATCTGCTGTCAACTTGAGAGGATTAAAAGTGAAGGGGCGGAGTGTAGCCTGTCAATCAGGCCACAGCTTAAGGACCGCATTTGGAGGCACTGAGGAGATAAAGAGCT